TTTCCCTTTTAGGTCTATAAATAAAAGGCAGCTTGTTTAACTGATCCTGCAGCAGAGAGCAGAGGTGTATATTAATGAGCTTTCTCTAATGGCACACTGGACCTATTTAGCACTACAACTGTGAAGGCTTCTCTTTTTCAGTCATAACTCATTTCCTAAGAAAATGTCAGTTATTGCTTCACCTTATGGTCTGAGCTGTTTAGTTTATAGTTTATTTCTTCTGATCTGTACCACTGACAGATATTGTAGACATGCCTGTGATTAAATATGCTTATGAAAATGGTAAACATTTGATAATATAAACCCACTTGGGAATACGCTGTTATTTCTGCATGGCAACATTCTCAGGTGCATTCAAAGTATAATGTGGAAGCAAAGAAAAAACATTTTAAGCAATTACAGTTATTAGATTAAATTGTTTTGTTAGGAAAATTGTGATGTATTTAGATCACTGTGAGATAATTTAGTGTTTTCATAAATATGCCTTTTAAATGCATGATATTGCAGCAGTTACACTCCAATGAGATTTAAGTGTAAAATAAAGATAACATATGTCTTTCCACATGGCAGTGAACTAATTTAGTCCCGTAAATTTCTACAACATATTTTTTCCTGGTAGAAGCCCTATTCTAAAAGCAGCAGTAGTTATAAACTCCAATGATTGCATCATGCTATTTACTGTGATCATGTGGCATTGTTTTGTGGCTGTACTCAGATTTGTGTAGCATAGCAGTGTCTGAAGCACACATTAACAATCTCACAATAAAGCCAAAAGTAGTAATTGCAATATAATTATTATTTTTATTGATGAACTTGTTTAAGAGCTCTGTTGACATTTACAGACTTTGAGGATCATGCAGCATTTGTTACTGTTATCCCAGGCATCAAACGTCAACAAAATGTTTAAGATTGTAGGATTAAGCAGTGACAGATTGGGGCCAGATGTCTGGGAGATACTGTAAGTGGCCTTCTCAGTTGATCAAATAGCTCTTACCATCCTAAAGCCCTTCGGAAATTGAACATTTGTTCTTTGTAGTTGAAGCTGAGACACTTCTGGGATTGATGGATCTTCCTGGAGGTTATTTGAGAAGGAGAATGAGCACCCCATTTATCCAGGAGGAGTTTTATTTGGTGTATATAGAAATATAAATACACTCCAACTAGCAAGGGTAGGAGGAAGGGTTAAAAGCGTTGGTGAGTAGCAATGAAGCCCAAGAATTATCTTACAAAGTCATCCTAACACAGTTTCCTCAGCAACCCAGTTGACATTATCTTGTCCGTGTACAGGTGAGACACTTTGCTTTGTGGAAGCTGGGTCTCAGTAGTGATGTCTCCACATGTGGACTTATAGGGAAAAACTGCAAGGGACACAGTCAGCAGATCCAGCAAGAAATAACAGAGCTGAAATAGGTCTTCCTAGAGTCTTTCAAAGTGGAGACCTTGAATGGATTCTCTCAGCCCCATGCTTGTCAACTCTTTGCACCAACTCCTTTCCTCCCTCCCTCTCAGGCCTTTCACCTTCACCTTTGTACATCACCTTCCCCTCTTCTCACCACTTGCCAGCAAGGTTCTCTCCCTCCTCTCCTTTTCCATTGATTTTCTTCCTATTTAGTCAACCCTACCTTTAGCAACCCTGCCTCCTTGAAAATATGAGTGCTAGAGTCACATCATTCTCTTTACTGGTGTATTCTCCCACCTTATGTGTTTAGAATGAATTTATCACAGCATTGCGACTGTCCCACTATCTGTTATCCAGCTTAATAGAGCTGGATAATATAAGTTATACAAATTAGGAAATTGTAATATAAATAGGAAAAGCCCTTAAAAGTCCAGGCATATGTGGTGATGGAGGAACCTTACTGCTGAAGGCATTAGGCCTTTGGATTATGTGTTAGTATCAAAAAAAGGCTGTTGACCACAGTAAAAGTATAATAAACCCCCATTTGAGTGCTGCTTCTTACATTGTAGCTCTGAGCATTTATGGTAGGGCCTGTTCCTTCTCTTCCTGAAGTCCCGATCCAGCATCCAGCAAACTCTTAAACATATGTGCTTTCATGTGGTTTAAATTAAGTTGTGTTTAGATGTTTTAGGACATTTGCCATTGGCATTTTTGCTACTGACATCAATGAGAATGGAGCTGGACCTTTAATTAGTTTGGGTTATCTGCATACTTTCCTACTTTGCATTAGGCTGTAGATACGGAGCTAAAGGCCAGTAATCCATTAGAAAAACATTCTGAGGCTCAAGATCCTCCATTCATGACTAAATAGCTGAGAAATTACTTCTGTGACCTAACAGGTCTTCCAGGCCTGAGACAACACGGAGACAAGAAGGATCAGGTTGTGGAGTGTCACTGTAGTGACTCTGGTGCCAGCGGGGTATAAAGTGTCCCAAGGACCCAGTAACAAGGGACATTGCTATAAAATGTTCTTCTGGGCTAGGATTTTTGATGCCTGTATGCAAGAACCAGAAACTGCTTTAGAGAGGGGAGTGGAGTACATAGTAGGGCCTTGTGACAGTCAGGGGAGAGTCGGCTCAGGTAGCAGGGAAGGAATGGCACACATGGGGGGACAGCATGAACAACTGAAGGGAAAAGCTTGGTCTTGCTGCTCACCTGGGATTCAGGTAAATGAGGTTGCAGAGCTGGGCTGCAAAATAATTTTGTAGGCTCTGGGTCTGATTTTCACCCTGCCTTGTGGTTATATATTGGTGAGTAAAACTGAGAAAAGCTGATCTGTTCAACTGAAAATGAAAGGGTTATTAGTTCTAAGGGGATGATACAGCACTGTGGACACAACACTAATTAAAGGAGACTAAAGAAAGGTAGGGAGGAAGGACATGGAAGGGAAGGACAGGAAAAGGAGAAGAAAAGGAGAGGAAAAGGAGAGGACAGGACAGGACAGGACAGGACAGGAGGACAGGAAAGGAAAGGAGAGGAAAGGAGAGGAGAGGAGAGGAGAGGAGAGGAGAGGAGAGGAGAGGAGAGGGAGGAAGCTGGGGAAAAAAGTGGAAACAAGTGATCTTTAGGACCTCATTAACTCCATTTGCCAGAGACTGGCTTTATGGAATGTCTTACAAGAACTATGGATTTGCCAAACTCTGCTTTATTTTTCATGGACTTCAGCATATTTGCACATTTCAGATTGCTTCGTTCTGAATCCTTGCCAGATTTTTAGTGGTGATTAAGAAGAAAGTTTGTTTCTTTTTAAGCCTTGGTGGTTTGGTCACTTCCAAACCTCCCCCACCTCCCTGTACCAGCTCAAGTGTTCAGAGGAGAGTCATGGCCAAAAAACAAACTTCTGAAGTGGTAGACTGCATGTCTCTAGGTGACTCTGTGGATCTATCATGATAGTTATGATGGGGAAAGGTGGAAATACATACATATCAGATAGTTGTCTGCACACATAGACCCAAATATGCCATTCAGACAGATTAAATATCTGCCCAGGGAGTGAAATATTTAGGGCAGTAAAAGCCATAGTGAACCTTTCATGTATGAGAGGCAGGGAAAAGCAGAAATTTGCAGTTTGCCAGGAAACCCTCTGTGTGGGTGCCTGTGTGTTGGAGTGCATTGCTGTGCTTAATTTGTAGCGTGCAGAGCCGATCTGCATCCAAAGACAGAACACAGCCTGCAAAATGAAGTGCTAGCTTGAGAATCCAGGTCATTTTGTTCACTGTGTTGTGATGCTTAAAATAGACTGAGCTGAGCAGGATGTGATGGACCTTTGTCCATCAGTAGTTAAAATTGCCTTTGTCAGGCACCAAGAGATCAGGTGCCTCCAGTTCACAGCATCTTCTAGGCTCCATCTGCATCTGCTCTCCCTTCCCATCCCTCTGCCCGCAATGCTGGAAGCAACAGCTGAGTCAGATGTTTGCACGCACCAATGTATATAAGAGGTGTGTGCATAACAAATAGAATGTGACAGGGGTTGGCAAGACTGTAATTTCTGTGGTGCCATCTGAGGAATGACAGGTAGTGACTGTAAAGCTGCTGAACAAAATCCTGACTCAGCAGAAGGAAGTGACAAAGTACTCACTAATTTTGTGAGGGTCAGGATTTTACTCTTTACAAGCAAGAATCGTGCAAAAGAATCTGGCTTCCAGAAATAGTGGTTTTAAGACACACCTGCCTTCTTTCAAAATTGTTGTTAGTGTTGATGTGAAGGTGAATTGGGTTGTGTTTCTCAAATACATTCTTTGAACTCTCGAGTCATAGAGGAGGCAGGGTTTTATCTGTATAGAGACACTAGAAGATCTGCAGAGCCATGAAGCTGCAATGCAGAGTGGGCAAAGTATATGCACACCACCACATGTGAGTATGTGTGCACAGAAGTATTTGTGCACATGCGTAAGTATCTGAGTGCATTTTATGGGTTTGCTGGGGCATGAATGTGCATATGCATGTATTTGTGCTCAACTGAGTTAGTCCCCAAAGCCCATCTTAAGAGACAGTGCCTCCACTGCCGTCACCTGTTGTCTGTAACACTGAAACTTATCAGTGAGCAATGCAAAACACCCTTCCCTTGGCTTAGTAGCTGGAAATTTTATTTATTTATTTATTCAGATTTAATTTGAAACAGTGACTTTTGTTATGAATGCTATGCAGTGTTTTATTACTGAGTTCTCTAATGAAACGGGTGCTTAAGAAGTCGGAATTGCTCAGGTTACTGGTTGTGTAAATGCTGAGAACAGACCTGAATGATACGGCTATTACAGAAAAGGGTGCAGAATAACAGCAGAGTTCCTTTGGATTGATCTTCAGATGGATCAGGTCTTCTTGTAATAGTCCGTGCTTATCTGCTCCAGTGTATAGTATTTCAGACATTTGAAACCAGGTTCTTAGCCGCCAAAAATAGCTTCTCTTGCTCTCTCTCTGTAGCGGCTAATTGTTATTGCCCATAGTGGTTCTTGTGCCAATAAGAGAACTCATCAGAACACTTGTTCTTTCTTTAAATTTTGTGTTCTGATACCATGTCTTTAAGCGTTCAGTGCTTCAGACAGAACATGTGAGATATTTATAACCCTTGTATTATTATTGAGCTACACACCATGTCTTCACTGACAGATTAAATGAGCAGCACAAAATGTTGTGTTTCATCCATAAATTTCAACAGATGTTTGAATGTTGGTTGATTTATTGCATTTCCAACTTGGATCTTACACTGTTCTCATTGTGGCTGCACATGGTTTATTTAATAGCACTTTTACAACAATTTTTTATGACGTTTTTCAGTTTGAAGGGTGCAACAAGGCATTTTCTAGGCTTGAGAACCTTAAGATTCACCTCCGGAGTCATACTGGGGAGAAGCCATACCTGTGTCAGCATCCTGGCTGCCAGAAAGCTTTCAGCAACTCCAGCGACCGGGCAAAGCATCAGCGAACACACCTGGATACCGTAAGCATGATTTCATACTGGGAGTTGCACTGAGTTTTCCAATGGTCCTTGTACACAATCTTTTCTGCAACCGGAGGGTGACTTTTCCTTTTCATGAGGAGTGTCTCAGAAAACTCAGCTATAGGCAACTGTACTTTTGTTTTGAATTTTATGTGCTTTGAGAAATGAAAAAGTCTTGATTGCAGAAAGGCAAATTCAGCTGTCTTACTCATGCTGAGGAATAAGTTACTCAAGAATAGGTTACTCGGGAATAAGTTACTCAGCAAACTCTCCCATTGTTCTTGTTCCAGTAAGAGGAGGCAGCAGTAGAATAAGGTATAGTATGAGTGAAAGCTGAGTCATTGCTGCTGTACTAAATGTGTGTCATTGTCCTGCTTCCTATCCTGTGTTGCTTCAATGAAGTCTGTTCTGAATGAATGCAAAAGCAGTTCAGACATCTCAGTGGAAAGTAAACACATCTCAGTTTTGGACATAATTTTGTAAAGGTAAAAGTACGTCTGTCTTATAACTGTATGAAATTTCTTAAGTACCCACCATCAGAATTAACTGTAAGAAACAAATTCTTTTCTTATGTACAGTTGGTAGATTCTGGGTCTACTCTACTAGTCTTCTCACTTGTCTTGCAAAGATGGGAGCCTGTCTAGTGTCTTAGGCTCTGATAAAATTAAATCACCATATTATGGGGAAAATAAGTAGACAACTTTGTAGACCAGTTAAGTCCTCAGCATAAAGCTTGTAAAGAATAATAGGTAGAGTTGTTCCTTTGTCTTTTTCAAAGAAGTGAATATATGGTTTAACATTTGGCCAAGTGTTTATGGGGCAGAACTTTTGAGTTTAATTGATATTTACTTTTTAAGCAGTTACACATTTCAGACAGTGCAGCATTAAGGAATGTCTAATGTACATTATGCCTTGCAAAAACAAACAAGTAAGAGAAGCCAGTCAGTCACATTTTCCAAACCAAATCACACTTACAATAACAATGTCTTATTTATTTGAAAGTCAACCTGAGACATTTGAATTTGTAATTAGTTCTAAAATGCATGTCTTTTGAAAGTGGATGTACTAAATTGGGTGCACAGTTTTGAAATGTAACTGCTTGAATCTAACAGATATATTTATTAGCCAGTCACAAATGGAATGCCATTTATTAGTTTTGAAAGAGAATTCAAATGGTTACCAAAATAAGCAAAAATTTTTATATCTGTTGATCTGTGCCTTATTGAAGACAGATCTCTTAACTTTCTATTTTCTTTTCTTCTCTCTTTATCTGTGCCTTTATTATCTGAAATGCTCATAAATCAGGAAAAAGGTACAGTAATAATTTTCTACTAACTTTCTTAAATGTCTAAAAACATCCTCCATGCTATTTTGTTGCAGGTTCTTTAAAACTGTTTCTGTACTCCTACAACACAGTAACTAAATTCCACTTACCTTGTTTAATTACCCGGTTTAATTACCTGGTTAAGTCTGATGGTTTAACTTAGTGTATTGTGTGCTTATGTGAATGTAAAAAATGACAGAGCTACAGGATGGTGCTACTGTAAAGACTGCATGTTGCATTAGCTCAGCAGACAAAATAACTGCCTGGAATGTCAAAGCAAATAGCCATGAACCTTTTTAAGGGTAGTCAGATTTTCATCTAGTTTCCCTATCACCAAATTGAATGATTCTGTCACTAATTTGAATGACATCAATGGTTTGAAAAATAATCTGCTAGTTTTTCTGCTAAGGGATTTGTTAAAGTTTTCCATAGTTTTTCCTCAGGTGTCAGTTCTCTGTGTTCCAGACACTCTCAATAAATCTGCTTTGCCCTGTAACTTTCTGGGTAGGTGCTGTGTTAGCCTGTAAGGTCATGAATTGGTGAATGATTCTATTATTCCTTTAGAAATTTCCTGCTGGCTGGACAGAGCAGCAATACTTATCCTCTGGAGGTACTTACAAAGAAAAGGGGGTTATATAGACTGCTTATTACTTACTGAGTGCATTTGGAATTGGTTTTAAAACTTCTCAACATAGGTCACTCCATCATTTATCTTCTCTGTTTCAGAGACTTACTGGTATATGCTAGTTTGATCGAATCTCTACTAAATCATCTGGAAGTAGACCCTTCTCCTAGGTAGAAGCAGAACAAAGGGAATGTATCTGTCCTTGTGGTAAAAAGGGGCATGTCATCACTCCTCCAGGAGCACAGCAACTTGTTTAAAGGACCTCACAGTCACTTCTCCCAAAAATTGTGTGGTTTTTTCCCCTTTTGTGCATCCTCTTTCTGAAACCAAGGGGATTAAAGAATGTGACACTGAGGTAATGACAAACCAGTTTTCTACCTTTGGGAAGACACTGAAAGGACTTACTAGTCCAAGTGAGAAGGCTACAGTAATGTTGACAAATGAGGCAAGAAAACAGAGAAAAGAGGAATGTTCCGCTCCACTTTAAAACTTTGTAAGCTTTGACATGCAGCACTGTTTTGCTATCGCTTAAGTCAGTGGTTACTTAATAACAACTGCCGGGGTCCCTTTGTTCAACTTGGTAATTGCACATTCATTTGGAGGTTGTACTGTAACACGGAGATAGTGTTTCATTTGTTGGGAGTAGGCATAAGTAAGAGAAGAACTTGGTGAGGCTTTCAGTGATTGGGACTCCAGAATCAGCAGTTAAATTGGAGCAGCCTTTCCCCAGCCCCCTACCCCGCCCCCCATGAGAAGAGTGTACTGGAAATGC